TCGCCATTGGTGGGGGGGGGGGTGGTGACAGTGAGTTTGCACCAGGCAAGAGAGCGATGCCAGATCTATCTGGAGAAGACGCAGGCGGTCAGGAGGTGATGAATGTCCTCGAAGTCTTGATCACATAGGACGCAGCGGGAAGGGTGGGTTAGAACATTTTCAAACCTTACTAACTCCTGCCCCTCAAAATAAAATAAAAAACTAACTCGTCAAATACTACGAGTTTAAAAAGTTACCGGAGCTAACCAAACCCCTAAATTTAACGTCCTAATTCTTTTTATTTCTTTCATCTCTGGCCGCATATATTTGAAACAAAGCACGACACTTCATCAATAATTTGAAAATTCAAATGCAGCATATGCAATAATTCAACTACAAACATATACATATCCAATTCAAATTAAAACATACATTCCCGCAAAAAAAATTAAAACATACATATACTTCATATGAAAGCCACCAAATCGATCAACTTTTATCCAAGAGAAAACCACACATAGCAAGTCTTATGTGGTGGACCAACCCCTATAAAGTTCATACTACACCAAATCAAGCACTCCAATGCTCACCATCACCACGGTCGACACCTTGACTGGCACCATGACCACCATCATGACCATAGCCACCACGGCTGCCACCACAAACCGAACATCGATTTGGCTACAATCTCACCACGAGTGAGTTGCCAATATTGCCTCATCATGCCATCGATCGTTCTCGGATCCATGAAGATAGCACGCTCGTCATCCTTCTTCTCTTTTGCGAGCCTCTCCTCCTCGAGTGCAATCTTACACTCCTTCGATTGCACCGTCCTCGCTTTGGTTGTCACATTTTCTCTCAACTTCTCATCCTCCATGAACTTGAGCACATTCATCTCACCATCTTCTCTTGTTCGTTCAGCCGCTACTGCTTTTCTGGTCTCGGTCAAACACAATTCCCCTCTTTGTACACACCAACACCTCCATTCATATTCCTCTCTTCTGTAATATTTTGCACATCCGTCCTAGAGTGAGGACTTTTACGCTCCTCATCACCAACATCAACCGGCATGCTCATTCTTGTCCTAGGGTGTCAATCAAAATTTCCCCATGCCCACTTCTCATTACCAACTAACTCCTTATAGCAATGGTGCAATACGAACTCCTTTGTTGTCGCGCTTCTTGTTGCTTTGCTTGTATATGTGTTGGATGATAGGCATATTCGGCGGTGCAATGTTGGCTTGATCAACACAACCAAACCATATATTGCATTGATCTTGGACCACGCTCCACAGTGGGCAAGAGAACCTTGAATGCGGTTGGAATAAATTGTCACATTGCTTGAGTAGTAATCATCCATCCTTTGCAAAACTTCTCCGTCGTTTGATCAGTACCAATATAGGCATCAAGAGATACATTCATCGAAGAAAGGCACAATAGCAATGCCTTCTTGCATATCATAGATCATTGACCTTGCCTTCTTCATGCTTGGTTTGTGTCACATGGGATCCTCAACTTCCTCCACTTCGACATCATCACCCTCCCTGTAACGATATTCATCCCTCCCATGATCACCGGCCATAGACATTGATGTGTCATCGAGACCGAGTATGTGCGATTCATCCAATTTAGACATGAAACTTGCAATACCATATTCATTCACAATACAATCATCAAGAACAAACATGTCACACGATCATCATCACGCCGTATCACTAAAATATATGGACAAAATGAAAAATGGTTTTTACCCTTTGGACCTTGCGATAGACACTTGGTGGGCATGATCCTCAC